CATCTGTAGGTGCTGATTATATTCTCAGAGCTACAGTTTGTAAAATACACAGCATAAATGCACATACGTGCACATAACACATGCCTGCTGGTGTAAAACACCCAATAAGAATCAGGCTTATGTGTTTGCAGAGTCGTGGACCAAGTGATCCATCTGACCATCAGTGAAGAGCGAGTAGCTTAGAAAGGCAGCCTGAAGTTCTCCGTAACAAGGGCTGTGCACCTTGCTGTGTGGTAGTAGGTAATCCCAGAGCTCAGTGCCATCGTCACAGTTTTCCTCCGGGTTCTTGTAAATGTTAGGTGCACCGTATGGGAGAGAAAGACTCTCGCTTATGCTGTGCCACTGTTACCTTCGCCAGCCAAATGTCACATGCAGTGCTCGCTGTCCCAGTGAGTCAGTTCCAGTCCCCGTGTGGTGCGCTATTTATTGGAAAGCATCGGATTTTTTTTTTTTTTTTTTTTTTGAGGAACACAGAGTACAGTGCAAAAACTGTGAGCAGGCACATCAGTGCCCTGAGTAGCTGATACTATGAGACACCCAGAAGATTTAGAGTGCTTGCTCTGTGTTTCAAGAAAGCAGCCGAGGAGAAAATGCCTAGCAGGGGTTAAACCCAAGTGCCCGCGCTGCAGCCTATTTCTGTCAACACTCTATTCAGGAAATAAACATTTATGCTTTCTGAAATGAAAGTGTATTCTTGAAGACTAGCCGTCAGATATTTTTTGCCCTTCACACTTTTAAATGCTTAGCCTTTTTTGTAAGTTGACTGCAAAGTGCATCGGTTTACCAGGCTGGGGGAAAAATATGCTTGACTAGTGCTCCTGGTGCTAGTGTGAGCCTCCCAGGTTGTGGCTGGAGAGAGCAGAGGGGGTCACAAAGCCCACTTTCAAGCCGGTCACCTCCGGGGTACCTGCCTTTCGAGAGAAGGTTTTCAGCCATTCCAAATGATGCTTCTCCTCAGTGTTAGGCAGTTTGTTTGGAACACACTGCAGTGCAGATAAACACGTGGTTTAACTCCGGGTCACGGCACAGTCAGTCTGCGTTGCCAAATGTCTGGGATACATTAAATAGCAGAGTCTCAGGGACACAGATGAAGAGCGGCCGGAGTTGTCAGGAATACACATCAAACAGGCTGTTGCTAGTGAGGGGAAAAAAAACTTGTACCATGGAATCAGTGCATTTTAAAGTTCTGTAGTACAGCTGAACATTTAAAACCGTAACCCATCACCCGCCAAAGACTAAGATCCCAGGACATATAAAACATGGAGTTCAAATGGCACAACTGCACAGCATATTCTGTTTCACTCCGGAAAGAGGTTTCTCTCCAAAGGGAGCTTAGCGTCCCAGGCGCTGAGGCCCTAACATGTAGCCTGCTGGCTTCGAAAAACAAAAACACCCGATGCCTGGTGAAGGCACAAACAAGTGATTATTATGTGGCTACAAGTCGGTGTGACCAATGGACAAATCATGCTTTTAGAAAAATGGCTCAACCTGGTTTACAAGAGCATGCATTTTTCTTTAAAAACCTGGGTCATTCAGGGGTTTATATTTTGCCCAGGTCTGCTGATAAGGATATTATTTTATCCATGTGTCTTTCTGGACATATAACATAGTTAGCAATTCTAATGGGCAGTAGATTAATTCTATGGAATGAAACTAAAATCTCCATATTTTTATGCATACACATTTGCAGTGCGTAGTAATTACCTGTGTCCCGGGGAGTTGGTCCTTACACAGAACACAACTTAATACCTTTGAGTCCCCCTCTCCTCCCCTCCCGCTCTGTTCCTTCCAACTCGGATAACTCTCATTTGCAAAAGCTCTGTTTCCATTTTTTTCTTCTGCTATTTTATCCCATTTCATCCCCTTCCACTCCCCTCCCCTTTCACCTCTTGTTTCCCTTCCCATTTCAAAAAGATCTGCCTCCTTCTTATCATTGACCTTTTATTTTGCTCTTAATGTATGTTTTGTGTGTCTCATACAAGAGAAAGCAAAGCATCTGTCGGACCCTGCCGCGCAAAACAAGGTTAAGTGCACTCAGGCATTGGGGCCGGAATGTGCTTTGTACCTGCTGTAGCTTGCAGGGCAGGGTGCTAAAGGGTTAATTGCAACACAGCTATTTCTAGACCGAGAAGAGACAGAAACTCAGACTTTTGTTTCATTTTGTAGAGCGTAGACTGGCTTTCTTTCCTAAAAATTATGCTTCCTTCACTCAGCTCCAAAGAGCCCTCACATAAAGCCAACAAGCTCACTAGAGCTTCTCTCCTACCACCAGTCTCCAGCTTCCTGATCAAAACCACAAAAAAAGGACCTTTTTCTTGCCTTTTATTCCCTGTCTTTATTTCAAGGAGAAATGAAAGGAAAAATTAGGTTTCTAGAAAGGATAAAACACACAAATACAAATTGCGGGAGCAGCCTTTTTAAAAAAAATGGAATTTTATTGCTTTTTGCTTAATTAAACCCCAAAGAGATGTGTGAAACATTGTTGTGGCTGCAAAAATTGTTAATTTCTAAATCACAGGGACAAAGGGGCCCCGGTGCAACTTTAAAGTTTCCGTGCACGTAAATGTCGATAGTGCGCCTTCTCCATCATCGGCTCTAAATTCACATTGATGCCTCTTTTCTTCTCCGTATTGATCCTTCCATGAGAACGTAGATTTGTATCTGTTAATTAATGCGTCCTGAAACAGCGTTTGTATTAATCAGGCAGATAAGAAAAATTGGATGCCTGCACCCCCTGACAACCGTAAAAGTGCTGGCCCTGATAAAATCGTGGATGGACCTCAATAAAAAAGTTCCTCCTTCCACTCAATAAACTAATCATCCTGCTTTTAATTATTCGGCAGAAAGATTTGTGGAGATTGGAGAATGTGTAAATCTATTTACTAACAGCGGTGTGCGGGAGGGAGGATGGGGCTGTCACCAAGCCCTGCAGGCTAGGGCTCCGTCCATCTGTGGCGGCGGAGAGGCTGCTGCTGGTAACGTGGAAGGGAAGGCAGAAGCTGGGCCAACTCAGGTCTGCTCTGCTGGCTCCAAACCTACCGGACAGTTGCTCGTGTTTTCACTGTACTTCACGGAAGAAATCCTTGCTCTGTTTTCTCAAGGTGGATATTTGGGGTTTGCGCTACATCTTTTCTTGTGGAGGGGTGCTCTTAGGAGGAGCAGGATAGGAAAGATCGGTGTGGTTCTGTCTTTTGTTGCTGTTGAGTATGGCCCTCCCCTCAGCCCCACCCCAGGCAAAAACACTTGAACCCAAGCTCTTTCTTATGTCTTCCCATTTCTCTTTGAATCCCATTCAAAATGCTATCAATTATTCAGCTCCAGTTTAAGAGGCTATTTATTAATTGAAATTCAGATTGCAGTGACAAAAAGAACAAGAAGAAAATTAAGGATACGGCCAGACCAAAAGAACCCCTGTCAAATGCACATAAGCACCGTGACCAGGAAGGGAAGGTCTTACACTCAGGCCAGGAAGGGCGTCACCAAAGCCAGAGCGAGCCCTTTGAGTTTATTAAGCACTTACATGCAGGGGTACCAAGTGGGTAAGCACTGATCTGCACCGCTATGCCAGGAAATCGTTTCGTTTTTTGTGCTGCAGTTTCTAATATAATGTAGGATGTGGACAATTTGATATGAATAAGAATGCCACTGACCATGGACAGAAACTTAACAAGGCTGGGTGTCCGTGGATAGCAATGCTTTGCGGGGTGCGGGTAAAAATAGGTTCCTTAAACTGCGTTTTCACCCTGAATCTTGGTACCGTTGCTTTCACGAGCCATGGAGGTAGGTGGTCATTCTTGGAATTTCGAGTCATCCCTTTCCTTAGCAGTAAAATACTTCTTCTTTACAATTCTTGAAAGAAGCACCTGACCCTCAGGTGTCTCCTTGGAGACTTTCATTTAGAATACAAATGTAGACCTTCTGGGATAAGAACATAGAGCTTTGCTCTTGAGCAGTTGAGCCGCACTGCTTTGTCTTCCCTCGTAGACAACATCTCTATGAAAGTTTTATTGTTTGCATGTGTTTTCTCAGGTGTAGAAGGGACTGTAAATGCACGTGTGTGAATGTCACCAGCCAGCTGTTGTAGCTAAAGAATAATCTGTAGTATGGTAAAACTTTTGACTGTCTATTATAAACTAGTATTTAAGTGAACATTAAACTGTGAAGATTAATGTATAAGTTAATTGATCTGCTCAAGGTGACCTAGGCAGTATCTAAATACTCGCTTCTCGTATTCACCCCACTACACCCAATTATTTTTATTATCTAACATTTTAACTAAATTGGACTTTAGTAATATAAATAAATTGGGGCCATTCTGTTTGGTGAGGAGGCCAGGCTGCTAAGGATTCTGATTGTTTTCATACCAGTGCTTATTATTTTAAAAAGGAATTCCTATTAAATATTAGTGAGAACAAAATATTCAATCCATTATCATTGGACTAGACTGGACTGTGTGTTTTCCCTTGTGGATTGTTGTTTTGCTTTGTTTTGGTTTATGTGTATTGTGTTCACCAACACTGGTTTTTCAAACTTAGGTAAGTTGAAAATCTGACTTCATGAAACACATTCATAAAACTTCAGCCAGACATCTAGTAGCAGGATTATATGATATTTGCTTTGCAAGTGAAAGAAAGAACACTGTGCTTCTCTAGTTCCCTCAGCTGTGCCTATAAAAACTACAGGGGCTGGGGATTTAGCTCAGCAGCATAAGCACCTGCCTTACAAGTGTGTGGTCGTGAGTTCGATCTCCAGTATCGATAAAAAAGGAAAAAGATAAAAAAAACCCAAAACTATAAAAATACCACCAAGTTGAAGCTGGGGTGTGACTTTTGCTTTCCTGTCCACAACGTGATCAGGGGGATGGGAAATATGCAGGGGGCTTCCAGTCAGAGCTCAGGGTCCTTTTGAGCTGGGATGCAGAAGCTGAGTACGTAGGAAACTGATGTTGCGTTATGAAATAAGGCTGGAAAGTAACCTGATCTGCCCATCTCCCCATGCAGGCTTCTCCACGCTGTCTCTGGCCGACCAGATGAGCCTCCTGCAAAGTGCTTGGATGGAAATTTTGATCCTTGGCGTCGTATACCGATCGCTTTCGTTTGAGGATGAACTTGTCTATGCAGACGATTATATAATGGACGAAGACCAGTCCAAATTAGCAGGGCTTCTTGACCTAAATAATGCTATCCTGCAGCTGGTAAAGAAATACAAGAGCATGAAGCTGGAGAAAGAAGAATTTGTCACCCTCAAAGCGATAGCTCTCGCTAATTCAGGTTGGCACACGGGCATGGTGGTGGGTGCATTGCTTTAATGTCTGTCTTTCCCTTTCTCTTAACTTCTTTAGGAATTGGCGGGACCTAGTTTGCAAATTCTGTGTCAGTCAGCAAAAGTATCATCAGTGTAGCTTTCTAGTGAAAGTTAGATAGGAGAAAAATACTCTGGAAGAAAATGAAGTTCATTTTACTCAGTCATTGAAAGAAAGCTGTGAAACATTTATTCGCTCTTCCTGGGCCGTCACAAGCCACAAGCTCTTGCGGGAGTGGCATGAGGGGACACCACTGGGACAGAATTCGCCCCATGCTTTCTAAGCACAAGTCCACATCAAGTGAGATGTGGATCTGCCCAAACCACTTCCTCCTCAGAAATACCAATTTTGCAGTGGGGAAAATGCATTTAATGTTGCTTTTCATTTTGGTTCTCAAAGTCTACCCTCTCTCTTCCCTTCTGGAATGCTCCAGAAACCAAATTCTGCAGAAGGAGTGTTCACTGGCCAGCTCCCGCCTACACAGTAGGGGTTAAGAACATGGGATAAATGTTCTTTCCCTTCAAACTTGAGAGTGAGAAAATAGCAACCTCTGATAAGTAAAAAATCGTTGTTGCTTTGTTGTCCTCCCCTTTGTGCCCCTCAAATGCCTCATTGTGATCTGAAGTCTCTCCCATCATTTGCATAAGTTCAGGATAGATCCCTCCTTAATGACGTGCCGATCATTAGATACCTGCGTGTCAATAACGCGCTCTGATGCCGGGGCCATTGAGAGGCACACCGTGCCCCTCCATCTGCTTTTGTTTTGACCCTATCTTTGAACTTTATCTTGGTTGCTGGCCAGTAGTTTTCCCTTTAATTACAAGAAGGAAACTGTCAATAAAATCTGTTAAATGGGATGCAATGAGTGGCTTGAATGGGCGGGCGGCTATTTGTTCAAATTCTGCAGCATTCAAGGTATTGACAGTTTGTTTTCTGGGGCCATATGTGACGATCAATCTCAGGCTGGGCTCAGCCGCGCTGAAAAATGAAAAACCAGATTGCTTTTGCTTACTTGGGGATGACGACTTTGTGATTTGGTGCGGTCCTAGTGAGACGAGACCTTCTGCCCAAATTGCCCCCGAGAGAGCTGGGGACGCGTGACTGTTTTTAGAAATAATTTTTAATTGATTTTGTAATTAACAGTTCATCTACAATATTGATGCATGAATCTTCGGACTGATAGGAGGGAAATTGTTTTCAACAATAAAGCTGTGCGTTTCTATTTGTCTTCATAATGGAGTTTAGCATCTCACAGGTTTAATTGTGGATGGAACCCTTTTCCTTACCTTACCCTGAGCTCTCTCCCCTCGCTGTGTTGTGAAACCATAACATATGATTCTTTATGACAAATGGCATTGTTGTTATAAAACCCTCAAGAAGCCCTTACCTTGCCTGCTGGAAGATCAAATTCAGAGAAGCAATAGAGATTTTCGGAGGATTTATGATTCTGTGTGGCTTTACATTAGAGCATCATTCATAATTACATGGGAGACTCTACAGTAATGGTTTGGGAAAGAGTTCTTACTTAGTAATCATCAAACAAGTCTAACTCAAAACCTTTCCTTGGCCAAGTAGAATAAGCATGTTTTATATCTTTTACATTTCAAATTCCTTTTTAAGTTATTAGCTGATCGTGCATGCTAAACAATGCCAAAACTTTGTCATTAAAATGACAAAAGTGTATCATTTCCATGTTAGCCATGTACTTCATGGCTGAGTGCTATAATTTGGAGAACCTTAGTTGCAGCTTTTCTGTGTCTGTTGCTTAGAAGTATAAACATTAATATTATTGATCTACCAATGCTCTAATCCCACACAGTCTGCTATTCAGGAAGTGACCTATTTTATAGTAGTGACTGGTGATTAGTAAGTATTTATTTAAAGGACTTGTTAGTTTATTTTTCCTGCATTAAGCCAGAAATAGTTAACAACTGCTGCTTTCCTCCTGTTCTGGTAGGTAAGGATAGCCCTGCTTCGCCGGCACAAATTTTTCTGACAGATGATTGTAACAGCTTTTAACCCCTCAATACCAAGAATGAACTGAATTGGACTCTGTACAATAGAAACAGTGCCCAAGTGTTGTAAAGACCACTTCAGTTCTTAAATTGTGCCACCTTCCCAATGCTGTAAACTCTCTCATCCGCTCAGCCCACAGGCCCCAGCTTTTCAGCATGGGGCAAGGCACTTGGGAAGCTCCTTCTTTCTTCCTGTCGATAGAAGGCAGTTTTATTCCACTTTGATCACCGCTTGGAGGGTAGCCGTCAAATTAGAGATTCAATCTTGCTTAAATCCAGTGTGAGCGCTTTTAAACTGCTCATGAACATACCATTGTGAAAGTGTTTTACCACTTTTCTTAAATCCCATAGAAAACTCCTGGATTTTCCTGTAGAACTTAGAAATTTTAGATTAACCAAAATGACTTTTTGGGGCAAAAAAAAAAAAATCTCTTTTGATGATAGTTATGTAGATATCTTTGCTTTCTCTGTGTGGCTGTAGGTACTTTAACAACCAGATGTTCTATTATCCAAATTCCATCTGATTTTAAACATCTGTCTTTATTCAAAAGTTGTAAATGCTCTGCTTACGTTTGGGAAATCGGCCCTTGGCTGTCATTTTTTGTGCCCCTGTCTCTGTCACCTGAGAATTCAGGAACACTTTGAACAGCAAACCACCACAGAGAGCAACTCCCTGTCTTCAGGGCCCTGACCGAAACTACAGTAGATCGTGAACTAATATTGCAGTTCTCACGTTCAAATATTTGAAAAACCTAAGGGCTAGTCCTGGTGACTTTTGAGGGTAAGACATTTTCAGGCTTCCTTACCATGCATGTTCTCTTATTTCTGAGCAATTGTGACACAGCTCCATGAGATCAGACTTAAAAAGGAAAATCTAGGTCACTCTGTGTGTGTGTGTGTGTGTGTGTGTGTGTGTGTGTGTGTGTGTGTGTGTGTGAGTGTGTGTGATTCCCCATGCGCACACGAAGAAGCTAAAGCGATATGTAGAATTCTTTCCATCTTGGGAATTCCATGATTACTTTTACTTCCGTATTAGAACACACAGCGAAATGTTGCCCTGAGTATTTTGGGTGAGGTTATGTGATTGGATTTCAGTAGCTTGGCTGGGTTCTGTGGATTCTTAAAATTTGTTGAAGCCGTCATCACCGGTCTCAAGGTAGGGTAGCTGCTGTTACCGGCTGGGAGATGGAAAGCAGTTTAGGATTCCCAGGCCCTTGAGTCTCACCGCCCGCTTTGGTCCATGTCACGGGCTCTCCGGGCTGCCGAATGCCCACTCCCACCCAGCTGTTGTCACTGTCACTGCCTTCACCCAGAGCCCCTTCTGTTCCAGAACAAATGTGTCTGAAGTCAAGTTTTCTTTTACCTCTCTGCAGAATTTCCAGAAAAACAACTCCCACTGCTACAGGCAGTGTTTGGGCTATCAACTTAAATTCCAAGTCGTGAGTATTCTGTTTTTCTTGACAGAGAACGGGATGCACGCAGGATTGCGTGATTTCAGTCTCCTACAGTGATCACTATGAGAGTATGCCCAGGTCCTGTGTAAAAAGGACATTTGGACCCTCATTCAAAGCTGGTCCAGCCTTTCGCAATCTTTTTTCAGTGTCATTCCCTTAGGAGAGACTTTTTTATTTCTTCATGTTTTGCTTTTCAGAGGCAGGGTCTCATTCTGTAGCCCAGGCTGGCCTCAAACTCATGCTGATCCTCCTGCCTCCGCCTCTCAAGTGCTGGGTTTACATGTGTGCACCATCACACCTGGTTATGAGATACTACCTAGAAAAAAGTATTTCCTAAGTACTCACACAGTGAAATCTCATTGCCACAAGTTTACTAATATGTTTCTATACTATACACTTATACATCTTACCCAAGAAAAATATTTTTCCTAACATCCAATTCCAAATTTCATCTCATTGAAAATACATGGTAGACTCATATAAGGGTTTTATTATCTGTAAAGTAAGGCAGGGAAATTAAATCATGTCTAACATTCCCTCAGTGGCCTAAAATTTTTCAGTTGGTTATTTTTAAGTAAAAGGATTGAATTTGTTTATCTCTCTATTGAGAGAAACAATTTGTAATATAGAACAGTAACATTTCCATGGATCTAAATAAAAGTGAAAAAGAAACTTTTTCATGTCACAGCCAATTTTAAATTTTCCTTGAACTCCTGGAAATAGTTTTAGCTGCTGCCCTAAAGATTATCCTTTTTCTGAATCTTTTCATAGAAATTTCTTTTTAGATTTCTGCCGGAGAATCTCATTCTATTCCTACACTGTAACCACGTGGTAGACACATCTAGTACCATTTGATAGATTTCAGAAGCGAGGTCGTAAAGGTTGTCATCGCTATAAAGCCAGAGGACTGGACCCTCTGTCCCTTCTTGTCAATAAGCTAGAAGTTGGTCCGACACTGAGGTACCATGTCATTCAAAGCTGTTGCAATTTTGTATCCTTGGACCTCGACAACTGTTCAGGATGTAGCATCTGCTTTTCTTCTTTGCTGTCTCCTTATACACCACGGCAGTTGTCTCTGTGACTGTTCCAGGACCCACTCACCCACCCATGCCCATGAAAACCTGCAGAAATCCAAGTGCCTCCTATAAAAAGATGTGGAATTGGCACTTCCTCCACGCATTTGCTTGTGTACTCTCCACATCCTCAGGTGGTGCGTGTACTTAACGTAACTGGAACGCTAGGTAACTGCTGGTTCCATTACCTGGGTAATAGCTAGTGACAACAGAAAGCCCGTACATGTTCAGTTCAGGTGCAGTTTGGCTCTTTGCAAATATTTTCTATCTGAGGTTGGTTAATGCCATGGATCTGTCACCCTTGGATAGGAGGATGACCACTGTGAAACTACCCAGGAAACTGACTGAAGTGTTCACCAGGCACTGTGAGTGTATGTGCACGTGCACGCTTTGAGAGTTACCCTGACAAAACCATAGATAATCCTA